TTTTGTGTGCTATATTTGTAGTACTGTGGTTATGCTGTTGTAGCTTAGACTCGTGCTTGAATAACTTTATTTATTGACAGAGTTATTTAACGGTCTTTATTATCTATACTTTGTTTACTTTTTTATCAATTTTTTAATTTCTTATGATTTTCAGGGGAACGGGAAAGAGTTTTAGAGTTAAATTCCAAATTTAAAAATTCTAAAAACAAAAAAAAAATTTTTGCTATATTTTGTCACTAAACTACTACTAAACCTAGGGTTGGTAAAGTCCTTAGGTCCTGGACTTTAGAACGAAAGCTTACCATTTTATATTTAATAAAAAAGACGTTAATTAAAAAACATATATTTAATATAAAAGCCAACTTATTCATAACTTACAGACTTGTAAAAATGCAAAGAATAAAGGTTAGCCCAAAATCTATGAAAAACTTACCCGATCGAAATATTAATTGTTCATAGCATATACAAGTCATTTTCGTTATAGTAAAGGATCTGGTTGTGAAATTTTCTTTACTATATCGAGAGTTTATGTACTGTACAAATAAGTTTATAACAATAATTTAATTGGTTGATCCTACTGTCAGTCAAATGATTGTCATAGTATTTCACAGATCCAATATGTACTGTAGATGTAATTATATGGATCTATTTGCTTATAGTGGCCATCTATGATAAATTACATTATTTCCTTTATTTTGTGAAAAAATTTTATTTAATTTATATTTATATATTAATATGAAATTTCTCTTTAATGATTATTTACTAACGCCATAATATGCATATAGTATACAGCTTATCAGTGTTGGAAATCTTATATCCTTATGTTCACCATGATCTCAAAAGTGTGACCATTTTTGCTTAAAAGAAACTGACCTCTTTTATTTAATAATTTGTGAGAACATTATTTGAGCACGCCTAATTTTTTTTTTATGAGAACTTTTTTTAGAAATTTGAGAATATTAATTTTTTAAAAGTTCTCATGAGAACATTAAAATTATATTATGAAAAGAAACACTTTGTATTTAAATGGGCAGTCTAGCTATTTGAATAAAGCCACATTTAATTTAATTAAGATCCCTGGTTGTATGGGATCTAATTCATGAAGGGTCTACTAGCATATTCACAGTAATTGCTAAACTATACTTAATGTAGAAAGTATTTTGGCATAATTTTTACCTGAAATTTGGCATGCGACATAATGCGCAAGTCTAAAAGTCCTACAAGTCTAAAATGTTGTTAAAGTTAATTCGAGTCACTTGGCTATGACCTGATTAACAAATGATACAGTATAAGGATCGCTCAAGTAATTCTTATATGAGTACAATCATATATTAGCTATAATAAGACTTCAGGCGTAATTATACAAATTTTTCAAGGATTGAGAAAGTTGTTCTGAATGAATCTTCATTATTTTAATTGAAAGTTTCTTTGAGATGTCAAAGTTGATCATAAAGAATCGTTATGATAAATTTTGATATAATAAAAATGATCACTTTCATCTAGGTTTTCCTCAAATCGTTAAAAAAATTTACAATCGGAATCTTTATTTATCCTATATACAGTAAAATTAAGCAAAATAAACTTTAGAATAATAAAATTGATTTTATTCAATTAATAAATTAACTGGGTAAGCTCAATTATTTAAATAAAATATATTAAAAAAATTTTAATGATTTATTTTTTTTATTATTAAGCCACACAAATTTTAATTTTGGTATTCATAACATGAAATTTTTAAATAGGCTCGGTCGACAGGCTTTTTTTTTAAATTTCATATATAAAATTTTATAAAATTTATACAGTATAAAAATTTTTTTAAAACATACCCGGTTATTACAGCTGTTTGCATTATTTTTGGACATCTGAAAAATTTTTTGACGGCCGAATCGATTAAGTTACTGAGTCTGAATCAAAAAATTATTGACGTAGGCCGGCCGACATCAAAAACTTATCGATTCGGTCATCAACAAATTCAGACATAGTGATCCTTTATCATTCTCATACTTCTCAAGGCTCCTCTCATTCAAAAAGTTGCTATCATAAAAGAAGCATTATTAACATGTTAACAAAGCATTTCATTAATTCTCCAAAGCTAGACCTATTGGAACTAGAGATGTACATCTCGCACGCGAAATCATGTTGCGCAACTTCTCGCGAGCCATGTGACAAAAAGTTCATTTTAAAAATAACGTATACATTTGGTAATCACTAATTATTAAAATTTTCTGATCAAATGATTTATTTCGCGCGAGATATAACATCATTTCATGCAACTCACGCGAAATCGCGGGTGTGATAATTTTACATCTCGCGTGAGGTACATCTCTAATTGGAACTGCTTGAGAACAGTCTTGGTTGTAGAGATTGGAACCGGTGACTAATTATTCGATCATCGGTCAAAAATTTCAAGATAATAAACTTTCATTCACTGAGTTTTTGATTCGAATATCATCGAGCATCAGTGAATGTTAAAATTTAGCTATTTGTTTTGATAATTGATTGAAATTTAACTTTGATAATGATAACATGATTATATAATTGATAAATTATATAGTGATAGTTAGTACAATTAATAAATATTACAAAATTCTTTAAAAACTCATCAAACATTCAAACATCGGTCAAAATTTTTTTACCGATGCTCGAAATTCTAGAGTTTGGGATCAATCGTTGCTCGAAGCTCACCAGTTCCAATCTCTACTAGAAAGATCTAAGATGTCAAAGTAATTCAACATTGACTTTTGATATCAAAGTCAATATCAAGTCAATATCAAGCCAATGTTAAGTCATTGTCAGGTCAATGTTGAACTACAGTACTTTCGGTTAAACCACTACATTATCAAAGTCATTGTCGAATTACTTTAGGCTAGACTACTATGTTATGCACAATGCATGCTGATTGATAGTCCTTTGAAAAAAATGAATTTCAATTTAATACATAATAACAGATGGAATAGAGCGTAATTAATTTTCATTACTGATATTTAAGTCTCACCTTGACTTGCTTGCTTAACTTGCTTGACTTGACGAATATATTTTACTTACAAGAAATGTTATAATTCTCATAACTTAAAAAAGTTACGACTGAAGCTAAACCACATATACATTGTGATATTGTGATATTGTGACATTGTGCGCTACTCATTCAGTCGCATTGCAGCATTACCGCATTATTTGCCGCTATATTGTTTGATCGGCAATTAGTGCGGCAATTAATGCGGCAATTGCGGTGGTAAATTAAGTAATTGCGGAATGGCAGATCAATTTTGACGTCAAGTGGTCTAACATTTGGATTGTCCAAACACGTGATAATCGAAAATCAAGGTAAAGTTTGAAATATTATCTGTATTATCCATTATAGTTGAATCAAAAGAAAAAAAAAAGGTTTTGTTTTTAGAGCGTAAAATATAATTAATAGAAAAATTTTTGAAAAAACTTCTTTGCTATACTTTATTCGCCTGATTTTGAAATTTTCATATCACGTGTTACGTGTCGGCTTATCACGTGCTCGGACAACACACTCCGAATACTTGAATAGGTCCGTGAACGTGAATTAGCAAATACTCGTTTTTTTTCACGTGTATAATGGTTAGATGATATTATCATTTGGAAAAGAAAATATACTGTATATATGCGTATATATGCGTATATATATGCGTGTAATATATGGTTTAAATGTGTCGTAAATATATGTTTCTTGTTTGTTTTTTGTTTTATTATAAAGCAACCCGTTATTTTTAAAGAAACGTTCGTTTAAATTTAGTAATATTGTCTTTTTTTGAACGTTCTTTAATATTAGGAACAGTTTATATAATTGATTTAACAAATTTTTAAAGGTAAAATCTGAGTGTACTAAACAAAATAGATTTATATTTCGTAAAATATACAAAGGAAAAAAAAATAATTGTTTATGTATTTCATCCATAATAAGTAGTGTAATTTTCATTATAAGTTTCATAATATTGCATATGGTTGTTGTCCTGTATATTATTAGATATATTATTAGAGGCAAAATACTGGGTTTGATCGTTAAATTCCGCTGGTACTTCAAAATAGTAAAGTTGTTGCTCAGATTGAATTGGTTGTATGTTTGTGCCGAAATTATCTGTTAGAGAGTAAGTTGTTTGTACTCGAGACTTTTTCTTTCGTTGATTGTCCGGTGAATATTGTTTCCATGTCGCTTTATCTCTTTTCGGTTTATATTTATAGTTTGGATTTTCGATTTTATGTATCTCTGCAACTTTATCTGCTAACTTTTCATAATAACCTTTTTCTTCAGGTGTAATTAAATGTTTCCATATGATACCAATATACTTTGAAAATGTTCTTTCGTTATAATTCATTAATTTGCTTGTCTCCTTTTTTTGGTCATGAGCTACTTTACGAAAGATAATAAATTTATTACATGGCCGCTTTACTCTACCATCACCACCAGTAGCCTCTTTTGGAGGATTTTTATTAAAAAATTGTTCTGCCGTGCAAGGTGGTGGGAAAAGGTTTAATAAATTCTTTACGCGTTTAGCTTCTGTAAATTCTTTTTTCTTTACCGGTAATTCATTTTCACTGCCAGCTGAAGTAGTTGTTGAAGCAGTTGTTGAAGTGGTTGTCGAAGTAGTTGTGGAGCGAGATAATTCCTTTTCACTATCACTTCCAGTAGTTACAATCATTAAAGATCTAGAATTATTAAAATTATTTCCAGAAGATTCATTTTCACAATCATTAATTAAAGGCGAGGTCGCACATGAAAACGTGGAACTATTAAGGTTGTTATTTAGAGTTTGAGGACAAAGAGATTCATCATATCTTCCTTGTGAAGGTTCTACAAATTGTGAATATGCTATCATGTTAATAGAATAAAACATTTATTTTCAGAACTTTGTAAAAAAAAATAGAAAAAGAAATAATGAAGATATGCACACCTTTAAATACTTTGAACATTTTTAATACATTAGTTAAGTTAATTTACATAAATGATATACATATACAAACATGCGTATATCAAATAAAACAAAAAAAAAGGGCAATTTTAACAATGTTAAATGTCAGATGAGAATATTTCTGGGCATTTAAACTTGAAGCAAAAAATTTAGAAATTTCTTATAGAATTTCGACGGAATGGATCGCATCTTTTCATCTGAAATTTTGTTTATTTTAATATATATAAAAATTTCTCCGTACCGGACTACAATTTGCGTTACATATATAAATATTGAACCTATTTTTAATCTCGAAATTTCTTTACATATTATAGATCATATTTTATACTGAACCCTACCCTAAAATGTTTCATCATTGAAATAAACTAGTTATTTTTATGTATTGTACATCTTACTTGATCCATTTTAAAATAAACCGCTACGCAATCCTAATCCATCTCAAATAACGCGCTTGAACCATTAAAGCAAGAGATAAATTCTATGTACTACATAATGTGAATTTTTAATGAAATTAATTCAGTAATTATTTATATTGATAAATTCTTTGGTGAAAATTTCGGTTCTTTTTTTTTCTGTGACATTTAGTCAGTTATTTAATATCTTATAATCGTTCTCTTGTTATCCTTATATGTGCATTCAGTAATTACAAATCTGGATATATTGATTAATTATATTATTTAAAATAACACGTCAAAAAATGTTATTCTTTACGTGCTTAGTAGATCACCAAAAAATTTTCACAATGCTCCATAGTTTTATCATTTCGATTCTTTGCATATTTATGCTATAAAGTTACATTTCATTGAACATTATTTTTTTCATTGAATTGAATTTTGATTGTAACATAAAAAAAAGTTGTTCCTGATCAATTCTCAATAGATTAGATGCGTAATAATCATACAGCCTGTATACAGTCTGTTGACAAATTCACGCATAAATAACATCTAAAAAAGCAATCCCAATGCTGAGCTATCCTTCCTTATTTCATTATTTTTGAACAGGTAAACAAGAGTTTCCGTTTCATGTTAAATAAAGAACAAATATTTATCATATATGTATACTTGGCGTTCTCAAAGGAACAAGGGAAAAAAGGGATCTTTTTTTTTTTAAAAAAAAACACATTGTATTTCATTTATTCAACTGCGAAGAAAAAGGTCCTCTTTTTTCATCAAATCATACGTATATTTTGCAATAGTAAATTTAAATAATTTATATGTAATGTATTGTAATTACTTTATATAACATATTTGATATGTGGATCTTCAAAAAAGAGAAAGAATAAGATTGATAATGTAAATACTTACATAATAAAAATATGCCTTATGTTTCCCAATTATGTATAATTTCTTTGGGACCGGAATTTGCATGCCACTGACCATACTATCACGTAAATCTTTGAAGATGCTAAATCAGGTTTTACTATATCAGGTTAGCATATATTTATATTTTTTTATTAATATCACTACGCATATCATTATTTATCATTAATAACATTATTCATATCACTACACATATCACACACAACTCAAGTTTAATTTATTGATAAAATTGAAATCATCACAATTAAGAAGCACACTGTAGTGTTTGTTTACACGACAATAAAAATCAAACATCGAAATTTTTGCACATCATTATTGCACAAAAAATTAATATTGTATTGTATATTAAATTCGATTGTAAAATGTGAGATATTTTAATATTATTTTTAAGCTATAAGAATTTCTTTTTAAAGTATAGTGTAAAGAAATTGAACATATTTCTAAGAGAAACGTAAAATAATTGGTTCCGATATTTTGTTTTGATATTACTTTTATAGCGCGATCTAATTCCTTTTTTGTGAATTACAGCAGTAGGGCTGAATCATCGATTTCATCAATTTCAAATTTTAATGCACATCAGCGTAGTAATTGTACCAAATACGCGTAGAAAATATCTGTAATATTTAATAAAAATTTTGTAATATTTTAATTTAAATCCAGAATGAATCAGAATAAAAATTTAAAATAATCATATAAAGTCGGAGATATTACCCGGATACTATAATTTTTTTTTTTTTTTTTTTTTTTTAGTCAAAGAATATTCTATGTCATTTATTGAACCCATGTTATATTACAATGTTGCACGGCATATATATTTAAAGAAGTATATCAACATTATAGATAAATCTCTTTGTCTTAACTTACCGCGTTTTAACTTTATTCTTTGTACGATGTACAATATATATATTACTTTGTCTTAGACATGCCTGACCCTCATGGTTGATGAACGTAATACGATCTAAATTACTTTGTCTAAAAATGAAGTCATGCCTGTCCCCTAAAGTTCATGATGCCTGACCCTCATCTTTTTCACGGGTACTAGCGTTGGTTAGCATTGATAGTATTGGTTTTGTTTATAGTGCATGCATCTTTTGTTTTTTCTTTAAAAGAAAAAAAAAAAGAAAAAACGCTAATAAAAAAAGGTTGTTGGATATATATATATAAAGTTCATTCCCCTTAAACATTAAACTCTTGATAAAGACTAACGAAAATTGACAAAACTCTTAAATAGTAAAGTTGATTTCAAAACAACCTATTATAAGTATTATCGATACAAATCATTGAATAAGCCAAATTATAATTTGTATCTTTACGTAAGATTCGTAATATCGTAATCTCGTAATCTAGAAACAAAATATTACAAAAATTTGCCCGATAATTATTATAATAATAATTATAATAATAATTGACCCTGCAGGTTGCCTAAACTTAAAAAATTTACAATTTACTTCTTGGCGTAATATCTCAAACAACTTTACTATAAGAAAGTAAGCTGTATTACATCTAATTCCCAAGGTTCATATTAGTGGTACTCATTGTGCAATCATATTAGTAATACTGTGCTGTCTATGGCGAAGCAGAAAAAACACTCTTTACGTAGTTCGTAAATGCTAGCCATACCTGCCATACCTGATACGTTATACGTAAAATTATTGTCGGGATAAAAAAAGCAAAAAATCATGACTGACCCTCGTATAATATTTCATGGGTGCTAACAGTGTTGTACATGCCTGTATAGTGATG